CCCTGCCCATACATTCAGGGCTGAAACATCACAGATGACACTGGTTTTCAAAGTAATTTGAAGATCATATAATTACATGCAAATGCTTCATGCCGCATATGGTGTTTTTAGTAATGAAGAACCTAAAAGTGCTTAAGGTCTGCAGGTAGCCACCTCTCAACCTGTTAATAATAGGGCTGACATTTAATGTGAAATTTAAAAGAACATAAGCTGAAGGGCTGCTGCACACTGAATAAGGCATAAAATGTTTGTGTGTTTTCCCCTGGTTCTAAAATTTGACATTAAAAACTTAATGAAAGGCGCTGTCTAAGTGATCTGGGTGTACAAACCAGTTTTGTACTTTTGGCTGCAGCCCAACTTATTTGCATTTGCTTAGTCGTGTTTTGTTCTATTCAGCTATTTTAAATTCCTGAGTGCCTCAGAATTCAAACAGACCTTCCCAGTGTACACTAAGGGTTGACCAAATGCTAGTTTATTTGTCTGTTTCTACTTGCCTAACAATAAAGTCAACAGCTCTCTATCAGAAATCACTCCACAAGGTTTACAAAACTAGACCTGACACCACAGCCTTTTTTAAAATGATGTTTACTGTGATTGTGGTGAACTTTTGCATTGTGTGCATATGCACTGGACAAACGAAGATGGACTGGAGTCTTTTAGTCTCAATTATCTGCTCAAAATATCTGATCGCATTTCACAAGTTATGACATGAACAGTCAGTCAGCCATAAGTCCTTTTTCTTCAGTAATTCTTAGCATTTTTTTTTTACCTTATTGTGTTCCATGTTACCTGGCTATGTTTGACATTTTGGGAAATATATGCTGATTGCCTTTTTGGAGGAAAGTTTGATGAGATGACTGATATCAGTTGCATGTTTGGGCAGTAAATATACTAAAGCTATCACAAGCTGTTTGCTTAGTTTAGAAACAGGGGGAAACTGTTAGCCTGGCTCTGTCCAGAGGTAACTAAATCCACATGCCAGAATCTCTAAAGCTTTACACATCATGTATCACGTATTCAGTCTGCACAAGAAATATTCTGACCCAGTAAAATGACAAGTTGTTGTTTTTACACTTTGGTTTTGAGCAGGTCAAACAAACAAAACATAATATGTTAATTAGTGAGCTTCAGAGGTGCTAGTAGGTGGATTTTATTATCTTTAGATAGTTGTTTTCCTCCATTTTTAGTCTTTGTGCTAAGCTAAGCTCACAGGCTGCGAAGCTTGCATAGAGAGTAAACATGTTACTTGAAAGTACTCAGATGGTACACAGTAGAACGAGCGATTGGTGTATTCATTTTGAATGTGTGTTAAGATGTCTTGTTTTGTCTTTGTGTTATTTTTCATTTTCGATGTAGAGCAGTGTCTTACAATCCCTCAGGTTGGGCCAAATGTTTGGCATGCCATGAAATATTTTGTTTTCCAGATTCAGACTTAATGTGGTTATAGCATAGCAGCTCGGTGATGTCACACTGTTAGTGAGTAGTGTTGCTGAAGCCTCTTCCTGTTGCCTCAGGATGGTTTTCCTGTGAGCCAGACAGAAATGCCTGTGTTGGCACATCAAACAATGTAATGACAGTACCTCGTGCTATAATGGCTGCTATTGTGCAGTAGGCTCCCTCTGTAGGACTTCGTTTAGCATATTTGAGTCATCATGTCTGATGTAATACTTTGGCATTTGTTAGTGATAGACTCTGCAGCCAAGATAAAAGCTGTGTAACCTGCATTGTACCAGTAGCAGATTTTATATTACTAGGCAATTTGTATGTTAGATTTTGTGGAGTAAAAAAAATGTAGATCAAACACAGAGCTCTTTATCACTTACATTATGACAAAAGTAGCAATACCACAGTGTAAAAATATTCTGATACAAGTTAAAGTCCTGCATTCAAAATGTTCCTTAAGTAAAAGTATAAAATTATTAGCACCAAAATATACATATAACAGTAAAAGCAAAACTGCTCTTTATGTAGAATGACACATGTCACTTTAATGTTTATTATAGTGAAGTAAACAGTCTGAGAGCTTCTTCCACCACTGGTTAATACAATGTGAATGTATTGCCATGCACAGAAAGGCTCAAACTGCCAGCTACATTAAACAATATTAATATAAATGGGAATGAATTTAACTTTAATTTTTAACTGTTTGCTAATTATTCAATTACACTTAGAAAACAAAAACTTATGTGGCTTTCTGACTTGTTTATTTATTGATGTTACATTTGAGTTTGATATATAAACAAATTCTTCAATTGGTTTGAAAGACTAATGCAATAGTTATGAGTTAATTAAACTTGAATGATGTACTCTTATTTTTAAAGGAAATATTTTGGGTATTTGGTCTAGTTTTAACCATTTTTGCCAGAATGTTGTGGTGTTGTTTGTGTAATATCCTGTATTGTTAATGCCCGGTTTATTATTAGAGTTTGGATAATGCTTGTTAATTATTTTATTTTAATTTTTTATTTTCTCCACATTGTCTCATGAGGGATGCCGGCAGTCCAAAGACTTGGCCCCTGATCTGTGTTGCTATGGAGTCCCAGGCAGCCTTCATGTAGGCTTGGTTGTAAACATTTCACGGTTGTTGTACATGGCTGTTGTACATGGTTTGCTGCAGGTGCCAGCTTCTTCTCTGTTTTTTCCCCCTTTTCTGCTTTGATTAATCTCCAAATGGCAAGGTGAGCCTAATCTTATCTTGTTTATCACTGTTTGTTGAGTAGTATACCACTAAGTTTAAAAAGACGCTTACTATATGCCTTTAGTTTGAATTTTTCAGCAAAACCAGGTTATTCCGTTGCTTAATTTCTGTTTGCTAGGATTCCGAAGTTAATACCAGTCATCTGTTGGACAAGTTGAAGTACAGAGAAGGGTCTGGGAGCACAGTAAACAAGACAGGGCAAGGGAGAGAGGTAGGTGGAGTGGTGGAGGGGGACAGAAGGGGTGTTAAACCAGTCACTCAGCCAAA